GGATTAAGCTACCGAACTAACATCTGTTTCCGTGGTGTAGTGGTTATCACATCCGCCTAACACGCGGAAGGCCCCCGGTTCGATCCCGGGCGGAAACAGTGGTAATTTTCTTTTAGTTTTGTGATAAAATTATTTTTTTTTAAAGCTTCAAATATTTTATGAAAATTTAATCGTTGCAATACACAATTTAATAAGTAGGAGAACGCATTTTTAAGGAGTATATATATGTGTGTATATTGTCCAAACAAAACTACATACATATGTTTGTGATTATTATATTTCAGCCTAGAAGTATGCTAGGTATTTTGGGCTTGGCCGATACAGTTGGTACACTAGATATGGTTACAGCTCCATCGTAAATATATTTTCCTTTTCCCTTTTATGGATACACTCGTTCATGTACTGTTAACCAAAACTTTCTTTAAACCTTTTAATTTATTTTACTCTAATATTTTCTTGCTCGGTTTGTCTACAAAGTAAAAATTTGTGTAATTTTTGTTGTGTAATAATATATTATTCAAATTTAAAGAAATCTCAAAATGGAGCCCCCCTCGTTTGTGGTGATAAAAAAGCTGTCAGAAGAAAGGAAGATGATTGCTCTTTCTAAAAAAAATACCATTCTCGCCCTGCGCAGCTTTTCAGTTTCAAAGAAATTTCTATTTAATGATTGTAAAATCTCCAATGGCTTTACTGTTCACAGAATTTCCGCGCATTTCCTCATTTCATGGGGATAAAGCTACGCTTCAAAAGAATAACGCACTTTGTTTTGATCCTTGAAGCATACATGTACCACACATTTTCTTTTTAGAAGGTTTTATTCTTGATTGAATTCACGTGTTTATCAGAAAGTACGATTATTAAAGTATGTATACAATTTTTCTTTTTTGTAGTGAATTTCATTTTTGCGTCGTTAATTTGTATTGCATCGGAAAACTGATTTTTTCAAATTTTTATAAATGAAATTTCATAATTTATTAAACTTCTCTACATTTTTTTCTCAAGCCACAGTTTGAGCGCCACTGTAGTAAGTAAAGTCACAAACCGGCTGTAAACTTACCATGGAAGTATTCACCACGAATGATTAATTTAGACACATTTACAAATTTGTTTTCCGAGGCACCCTGTGTTGTAAATATTTTAGACATAGTCTCACTCTGTATTTAAGTGCGTTCCATTTTACTAGCCTATGGCTTGTATCAGCTATTAGACAAACGCGTTCCATAAGCATCGGGGGTTCAGTGGTAGAATGCTCGCCTGCCACGCGGGCGGCCCGGGTTCGATTCCCGGCCGATGCAATTAATTTTTTGTTTTATTTATTTTTTACTCTCCTTAAATTAACGAGCGCTCTATGGGTGGTATCATTTTTGCGCGCTCCCAAATGGTTTCTTCCATATGAAATCACTATGTGATTATGTTAGGAGCTTAAACTTCAATATTCGTTCAGTGATCATCAACTCCCTCTTGATACAGAAAAAAAAGATTAACTCTGTGGTCATAAGGGAATGGTATGTGGTAACGAGAAAACTATTACGTTAACGAAACCCGGCGGGAGTCTACCATCGTGGTGCTATCTTAATTATCTCTAAACAAAATAGATAGATATATTAGACTTACAGCTGTTGGAGCCCTGTGACACAATGTCCCTCACCATTTGATGCTGCAAAACTGGGGCATCTTGTCATTGCAGAGCATCCTGCTCAGAGAAGCCAGCTCGTAGGGAATTCTCCGACTTGCGAGATATTTCAGTTTATGTGAGAAATCAGGAAATGGACAGTTGTTTTGTGGGGAATTTGGTACATTGAGAAAAAAATCTACCAAATATTGGTTAATAATACTTAATTGAAACCAGAAAAGGAATCAAAGCGATGTTTGCTTAGTAAAAACACTGCCATGGTTTTTTTTTTGTTAATACGCGCTCTCATTCTGTACTTCACAGACGCTTTTTCATAGATCGGAGAGACACAAAGCAAAAATTTGTAGTACCATTTTAATTTACATAATGCCCCTGACGAGATTCGAGTCAAAACCTTCTGGAAGTTGGCAAATAACAGCAAACATCTCCGCATACTCAGCTACAACTGCTCTATAAATTCGTCTTCAAAATGTTAAACTGGAATAAATTTACTTCGTCGTTTGATCGTGTGTTCTTCTTCACTTCACATATCGTCAACTAAGGGTGAAAAGGTGCCCAGTCAATTTATTAAAATTGTTCAAGAGAGATGAAAATTTGATGTAGTTTTGTATGACCTGCCATTCTGCATCAAAGTTCAAATTTGGAAAAAAGGACTTGGCACCTTTTTACCTTCAGGTAGCGAAAAACAAGAAAAAAATACATGTTACAACACACCTCTGACGACATTCGCACCCGAACCTGCTGGAAGCTAACAAAGAACGATAAGCATCTCTACACGTTTATCTACAGCCAGACATACTAATTTGTTTTCAAATGTTCAACTTGAATCACATATACATCTTACAAGCGGTTTAGTTACCATAAAAAAAAATCAAACAATAACTTGGTTGAAAAATTCATTGTTCTTTTGGCTCAGTGTATTAACTTATTTTTTATCTTTGCACATTCACATAAAGGGGTGTTACCAGATCAGTTAATTTTTCGCCGCTGTTTTAACCCTTCTACGCAAATTGAGTCAAAATTACCCAATTTTAAAAGAAATCTGTCCAGAACTCTCCTTAAAAACTTTCACAATGCGATACAACTTTTTTAAATCCGCTGTTAAGTTTCCTCAAGGGCTTTTGAGGAAAAAATCAAAACAAATTAACACCAAATTTGTTTGTTCGTTATAACAAAGTTGCAAACAGTTGATATTAATGGGAATAGAATTTCATGAAATTTCGTGTAAAATCTGAAAATTTCATCAGCGAAATCGGCGAGGACTCAAAAATGAATTGGCGTCTCTGTTCATAGCAGTGTATCCTTTTCATCTTCTTTAAATTAGTCAATTTTTTCAATATTTTTTTAAAAATCTCACACATAACAAAAGTTTCGCATGGTAACCCTGGCGTTAGTCCTTTTGTTTGAAGCCAGTTAATGATAGGTGTATCAAGTTGTCAGGGTACTTGCAATTCTTCGGCTAAGTGTACGGAATGACTAAATATCTTTTCCTTGCATTTATTCGGAGTATTTATAAGTAAACAAGTAGGGAAACAATACAATTGCTACATTTCAGGTTTCAAAGTTTTAGCCTCCCCCTATAAATATTTCTATAAAGAAGAAATCAGAATCAAATGAAATTGAAATTCCTTACTGATTTTATATGAAAATACTTATTGATTTTATTTATAAAATTATCTTCTAAAAATCATCCTAATCCTAATTTTATGATAAGTCTTCTTAAATTCATGAATTGCAAATTTTTGGAGTTTTTGTTGTTGTATTACCCACAATTTTATATCGGGTCATCTTCAAAGGGCTTTTCTTAAAAATTTTATAGATTTGAGGGGAAACTGTAGATCAATATGCATCAACTGAGAAAACACTGAATGTCGATACTCGATTTTTTTGGATCGATTCAAGGATCGAATCGCGACTTCATTAAAATTCAATGCGCTACAAAACTGTATACATACCCAACTTTTTTCTAAAAGGGGTAATTAGGGAGTTCAAAATTTTAATGATCGTTTCTACAATTTTTGAATAGGTTAGAAGTATTTTCTTTAAAATTTTATAGGTTTTCTAAAATTCAATGGGTTTCAAAACTGCATACTACAAAGGGCAGTTAGTAGTGTAATATATAGTTAGCAAAACAAAAAAAAATATAAATAAATAAAAATGAAAACACATCTATATTTCAAAAAAATCTTAATTAGGCTAATATTATAATAAACTTAAAAAAAAAAGTTCAATTTTCTATTGACTGCTCATATAGGTGTTTTACAGTAACTCACAGTTTTCATTTTTTTTTACGGATTCCGATTGAAACCATTTTGAACAATGTATGTTTTAAAAATTACTTACACTGAATGTTTGTAATTTCACACTACACTGAATGTTTCGTAGTTTTTTGTTTCTTAAAAAAAGTGAGTAAAAGGAGTTATTTAGCAAAATATATGAATCGATCTTGGGAGCTCGACTTATTTTATTTCGATTATTTTGATTTCGATTATAGTTCCGGCACAATCCATTTTTTTATACCAAAAAACCCGTTATTTTCGTACTTGATACACTTATCTATTAATAGCTTGACTATTTTCCAACCGATTTGAAAATCAAACAAGTTTTGGAAAGAGTATTCATAGACCTTTAAAATAACCTATGTCAATTTATTCGAAAATAAATGTTCTTTTACATAAATACCACATAATTGACAACTTTCATAGACATTTTTGAAATTAGCGATGATCAAAGTCGAAAAAATGAAGAAGAATAGGGACTCATTAAAATTTAACCGATGAAAACTCTCAACTAGCTACACTAGATTTTGTTTCGGGTGTATTTCATGACTTTTTTTTTGGTAGTACCGTATAATAGGTGCAGGAAGATCGTTGTTGAAAGCTTTCTTTATCTTCATTTCTAGAACGACTCCTAAAAATAGTTTATTGTAAGCCAAAGCTTTTCCAGTGCAAGTCAAAGTTCAGCCAAGTACAGTACCCACAAATCCTTACCTTCGGGTATGCGTATTGGCAGTAAGAAATTATAACTTTCACTCAACTTTTTCGTTACTAATTAGTTAACTTTATTGGAATTCCTTAATTCGTTTTGAAATTTGTAAATTTCTGCTAATAATCGCTTTCTTATTACAATTCACTTAGACTTACATACATGTATTATGTTTAGTATATAATCTAATACATATGTAAATACAGATATGTATGCATTTCATAATCATCAGACAATTATAAGTGTAATAAAGTGCAGAGAATCATACGAGAATGATAATTGTTTCATAGAGAAAAATCATAAAAAGGTTCGATTAAAATTTAATATATTTAATATGAACACTTCAAATCATTTGGAAATCAATCGCAAAGGTAACAAGAAATTCTCAAAATATTAACATGAATCAACATGCATGTTAAGCTAAATTATGCATACTTTTAAAAGCTCTTTAGAACAAATGCATAAGCTATGCCTTTCCTGCAAGTCAATAATTTTCTGTTAAAACTAAAAACAAATCACTTACTTTCATAGAACTTAATTTTAAAATGTGTGCGAATCGAGCGAATTAAGATTAATTAAGAAAAATGATTATCTAATTTAAAGAAAACTTACTTACGCCGAACACTCTATCAAGTCAGCCACTTAAGTGAGTTTTTAAAAGTACAATTACATACTTAATTGACTTAAGTTTAATAATTAAACAAAAAGGAAACATTTCGGTTTTGGTGTTTCATAAAATACAGCCAACTCTCGCGGCGCTTATGGCTTGCACCTACACACACAGCAGGAGGGGAAGAGGAACCAGTCCATGAAAATGCCCTTGCAGTCATTGTCGGGATCATAGGCCAGCAGGCGATGCCATTTATATTTCTGCTCACAGCCGCAGTCGCGATCACAGCGCGATGTCGCGGGAGTGCTGAGGGGAGAGAAACGCAAACAAAAAAAAAAAAGTATTTTTTTAGTCAAAAATCACACACAAACATATCACATGTTACTCACGAGCAAACCTCCTGGTGTATAGCCTGCTCGAAATGCTGCGTATTAACTATGGCGCGTATTTTACCCGCCGAATTTGAGGCCCAATATGGTGTGACAATCTCCACTTTTGACTCACAAGCGTCCACTCTGTCAAAGTAGAAGGGAGGGGAGGGAAACAAATGTTATGTATTGTGTGTGTAAAATATCTACAGCGTCGCTGTCCTCACCTTCCTGTGTTCTGTCCCGCATTCGCAAACGAATTTGCACGAGAATTTTGTTTGTTTGCATTTCGATTGATTTGTCGTTTGTTGCGCAGCTTGCCGAAGTAACTTTCGCCCGCTTCCTCAGCGTGTGGTTCTGCGCCGGCTTCATCGTCGGGCACAAAAGCTGGAAATGCGCCGGGTGGTATGAAAATGTCCGGATCATCAATGAATCTTCGTTTGCGCTTCTTCGTTTGCGATTGTGGACCGCCGGGTTCGAGATTCATCTCAAAGTCGCCGTACATTCGTCGCATAAGCGCCTTATTGTCATCGATGAAGCGTTCGATCTTATCACTGCGAATGAGAGAGACAGAGAGAGAGAGAGAGAAGAAAAAATGAGATTTTGCTCAGATGTGTATAGTAAAAAATTTGCTAGATTATAACTTATGTAGACCTTGAACGTAATTTGACACATGGTAATAGTAGAAGGTTACAGAAGAGCGGCTTTAGAAATAGCGGCGATATGGGAACTGTCTATACAAACGGAACTGGAGCTGTCTGGCATCTGAGATAAGTTTATATGCTTTTGCCGTAAATATCTGAAGTAACTCGCTGAATAATTGTCGAAAGGTGGCGCGAACATCAAATTAAGGTCTGCAATGACAACCAAGCGTATCTAAATACCAATGAAATAGCTTGGAATAGAGGCTGAGGGCAGCCCACAATGACCTTCAAGTTTGGGTGATTTGTGGAGATAATGTAACAGCTGAGTGGATAAACTGAGCAATGGTATAGACCACAGTCTGAGACTATTATTAACCAGACAGACCACCCAAAACTGAACTTCCTCCACGAGAGTTTTTTTCGCCCGTCATCAGCCATTACTATAAATATAGTCTGATACCAGCTGCCCTCAACGCGGAGAGTATACTCTATATATAGACGCACTTTCAGCAGTACCTGCAAACCGGAGCTACTCACAAAAGAGTTAAGACCATTCATAGATCTGTCCCAAGAATGATAGAATACAGATTGTATTCTCTCAATCGTGGATCTGTCCACTAACGATATTTAAGGGACTAAACTGACTGATAATTTGCGAACTCCGGGTCTTCGAAGCCGAGTCAATTATAAAACCAAGTATAGCAGAAACAGTCTGGTACATTATGGAATCTAAGAGTAAAACTCGTGAAAACCACAGATGCTGACACCTGTCAACCGAGTGCTTTCGAAAATACAGCCCCCTTGTCGCCGTGACTACAGGGATCCCAATAGCTTCTGAAACGGCACCAAGAAGTGCAGTAGGCGGTAGGAATATGTGAGCTTTTTTACGGGTAGTTCTAAACCTAGAGGAAGGATTAGTGAAGAGTCTTATGAAATTGTGTCGCCGATGAGGAAGGACTAAGAGCGCTATTCAAGACCTGCTGTCTAGTTGGGTGACAAGCAAGCGAAGAAAGGAAACTAGAAAATGTCCAACATATGAACTCCTTAGGCTCAATAAGGCACAAAAGCTATTAGTGAGGGTGCTGACTGGTAATTGACCCAACATAAGTATTACACGTGATGATATTAAAAGTCTGGCCTGATATTTCTTATGGCAGGTATTTGGAGCATATTGAAGTGGAATCACTGCAACTCTCCCTTCGACGTTAAGTTGTCGTGCCTTTGCGAGCTTCAAGTTCAAATATCTCTGGCCGGCATTTCCTGCTTAAAACTGGATACTGGCATTAGCTGCCTTAAAAACTAACTAACTGCTATCAGCTACGAATACGATTGCCGTTCATATTGCGGACAATCGCTTTGAATATATTCTAGCCTTATCAATTTGAAAACTTACATAAGTAAGTGTGCAGAACAGAGTCCTATTTATATCATTAAAATGTGCCTTAATCTTGTATGTATATAAATCTCAAGCATACACCCGATACTATCCAACTTTTTTCATGGCCATTTAATCCAATAGTAAAATTTCTTTCCGTTAGATGATATCGATGAAAGCATTTGATGTAGTCATTGCTCCAGACAAAACATAGTTTCAACTTTTATAAAATTCTGATTAATTTCGCGGAAAAAAATTCGATATCATAAACTTGTCTGTCATTTGAGACTCCTACCTGCATAAATATTAATAGTGAAATAAATCAAATCAAAATTGTCGCAAAATCTTTTTCCTATGAACACATATATACACTGCAGTTCCACCTGTCTAATGAGTATTGACAGGTTGAGTGGGCGTGTGCTCACACCTTTCGATTCGCTCATCTGTCTGCTACAACAATAAATATACAACTGGCTTGATGCAAAAGCACTAATGCAAGCGTCAGTCACTATGGAATTTCATTGATGATATATAAACGTGGATAGACACATACATACATACATATATACATACTTGATTACTGATTCATTCATTGAAATTTTACAAAGTAAATTTTATGCGAGCTTACTAGTTATATAGTTGTAAAAATTTTCATCGAGAAGAAACTGACATTAGAGGCAACTAATTTTTTTGGAAAATAGTACTTAGCATACGCCCACAACTACTATGCTACGCTTAGTTTAAGAATTTTTTTTGCTATGTATTCATAGTAGAGTGGTTAAAATTTTTTTTTTAATATGGATAAAAAAGAGAAACGTATTTTTCTGAAAATGGCGGATCCAATATGACGATCAATTTATAAAAAATAAATATTAGATTTATTAGAAACTCGGATCCGCCATTTTGAGTTTTGAAAATCTGACTGCAGATTCGTAAGCAGCAACCCCAGAAACCCATTGGTAACAAGTTTCAACCCATGACACTGCGCGAATCATTCAGTATCAAAGTTTTAATTTTAGTAAATTTTTAAGAAACTTATCGCCATATTGGATCCGCTTTTCTGAATTAAAAAAAATTGACTTCTGATTCGTAATAGGGCGGTTGATTGTTTTTTTGATATTTTAGAGGAACTCTTTTGTATTTTTCATGTCCTTGACAAGGCATTATTACATTTTGAGTACTCCATTGCCAGCCTTGCAAACATTTACAACCAAATAAATGTTTGTGATATCCCCTGGTCATATGCTTATGCTACGAAAGCTTTGAAAGTGTACTTGGATTTACTTTACGAACTCAATTTCGACGGTACTAGTATTTCTCGAAAGGAATCATTCCAGTAATATAATCTCAATATATGTTTATAATATTATTAACGCTTTAAAGCTTTAAGATTTGAAAAAATTATTAGTGGTAAGTAATTAATAAACCAAAGCAGTTGTAGTAGAAAAATATATCAATAATTGAAAGAAGCGCATTACATTTAATCGGCAGGTAATCGCTAAAGGCCGCCCACATTTTCTTCGGGCCCTTGAGTCTCACACATGTTGATCCAGCCCTGCATATAACCATGTCAGTCTGCATACAACTTTGATGCTTTTGTAATTCATGCAAATAGCTACGGAAAGCGAAGGCGTCAAGTGCAAAAATATATTTTTCGTTTTTTTGCATTTCAGTAACTTCCGAAATTCATTAAATGGTGAGAGATTCGTATAAAGTATAGAAAAATTTGAAAAATAGAAGTCGCGTGGTTTTGGAAGCTCGAATTAATTCTACCAAAAGAAATACCAATTATTAAATACTTAATTGCTTGCTTAAGCCGATTATTGTAGAAATGAAAAATAAATACATTTGTTTATTTACTAAAGATATGTAACCCACGTTGTTTGTAAACAGTAAAGATTTATTTGTTTGGCACGCGCGTCTTCACATAAAATTATTGCCGCGGCTTACAATGGGCCACGAGCGGAAAAAGTTATAAATATTTGTGATGGCCAAAAGTTTATACTGGCTAGGCTTTTTTGAGGTTAGGTTTGTATAGGAGGTATGCTTTAAAATAAACTAACCGCGCCCACTTTTTTCATAGTTTTCTTAATTTAGATCCATAAAAGTTGCATATGAAAAATTGAAGCTCTGTGCCATCTACTTGTATTTTTCTCTAAAAAATGTTTGGGGATCTCCCACTGTGCGGCGTTTGCGCATTTTAAGGTCGTAGAACTCACCACTTAGCGAGATCTAACCGGAAGCAAAAAAAAAGTAATTAATACATACAAAAACAAAACAAATCTTAATCTTTTGCCTTTCAGTTTTACGAATTACTTATTTTTTATTTACATATTTTTGCATCATTCGCGTATTTTTTTTTAAGAAAGCTGTGACGACACCAACAGGTGATAAACTGACATGGAATAACAAATACATATATACATATAGACAATGAGGAACAGCAACAAATTAAAAAAATGGGAAGAATATTCAAAAAATAATTTAATCAAGACCTGGCCGTAGTACATAAAGTAATATAATTAGCACTCTTTTGAATTACTTTTTAGCACGTCATAACATTTTTCATCAGCATTTATCGAAGCGGAAGAAAGATTAATAGAGTGATTTTCCGCCCAGGTTTGTCGTATACATTCGCAGTATGGCAGAAAATATTACAAAGGCACTGTCATAATGATAATATTTTTTAAACTACGCTTTTGCTAACTGTTCTCCTCCTTTTGTCGTGCCCGTCTAGTTGTTGTTACACAAATGGGGGATTCTGCCGCCTCCGGACGGCAAATCGTTTTCATATGAAGCTTTCTGAGGACAGAAATACACTCGGAGGTTTGCACTGTCTGCCGAAGGGCGGCCTGTATTAGAAAAAGCTTTTTCGCGAATTTCGGACCACCACTTATTGATAAGCTTCAAAGGTTGGCATGTCTATTAACAACGGAAATTTAAGCGACAGCAGCCACGAGAACGTTGCCACTGCGACTTTGTAACGATAATTTTTATACAAAAAAGCTTCATACTGGTATTTTTGGAAAGATACCAGGGTTGGAAAAATGCTTCCTAGCAAGCAGATCTGCTCTGGCAGTAAGTTTCTCGCGATATACAGATGGTAGAAGGGTGAATGACAGTGTGGTTGCTGGTATTTACAGATCTAAAAACTTTCACTCCAATGGGCAACGCTTTCACAGCATTACAGGCGGAAGCATTAGCAATCTTAGCCTGCGACAAATTGAATCTTACAAAAATGTCGGCACTCGTCAGCCACGGAAACAGGGCCGTAGATCTTGCGTAGAACGGTTATCTCGAAAGCTCCCAACGCCTTCTAATATAAAGGAACGTGCTTGACGAGAGATTTGTAGAGTAAAAGTTTCGAGGTTTCTGCTTTTTAATTGCCTACCAAAATGGGACCTGATGGCAAAAGTTAACCTTCGATCTATCTCCAGATTGACGCTATTCTTGGTGTTTATGCTGGACCCTAGATAGACAACTTCTTAGTTTATTTTTCCAAGTGTCGCGTGACATCTCTCTAAGGATATAAAAAGTCTTTCAGGTCGTAGTGTCCCTTCTTCTGCTAAAGCCAATTGTTTAAGTAAAGCGAAAAGTTTTGCTCGCAGATCTTTTTGATAGAACATCGTTCATCTATGCTGGGGCCCGGGACATTGTGGTGCTCCGGGAAATGGAAGCGCAGAAGTCTGCGCGGAGAAATGGCGTAAAAGCGAAAGATAGAACAGCTATTGACATGGCAAAATACGAATACTAACGAGAATATTCAAGCGTAATAAGATTATTACCATCAGCTACAAAGCATCGTAAAATGGTTTGTGTAGAAGTTGAACATTGTGGGATCAGGTATCTACTTTATGTCGGTTACTAGCTTACCTGCTTAAAAGTTATTGTGTGCGCCAGTGTACTTTATTGTTGCAAACTGAATACAAAGCCATAGCCACAAAAGCAGATAGCTCGATAGACACCCACCCTATATGTATGTACATGAGGGTGATGCAAAAATTAATGTGAAAAAGTAAAGTGGGAATTTTAATGCTCTCACCCCCTAGGATTTGTTCTATACCGAAAAAACTATATGTACTGTTATTTTTTTTTTGAAATCAAACCATATTTAAAAAACAAGTTTTCGTAGAAATTTATTTATTTATTTATTTATTTATTTATGTATTTAAGATATGAGGGTGTACACGTAAGACTTTAAGTCTTTTACAATACATCAATAGATGGAAATAACAAAATTGAAGGCTTATTTAAAATTTGAAGAAATGGTATAAAATTCTTGAAAATCAATATTTTACGATCGGAAATCTTTTTTATGATACCATTTTTTAATACTAGCGATATTTTTGGGCCGTCCATTGCATTTGTTGACGTTTTTAATGGTCCCATAAAAAATTGTTTATAATAGAAAATGCTTAAATAAGCAAATGGGTAATTGTTAATGGAGGCCTCCTCAAGAGAAAAAAATTTTGATTTTCAAGAATTCTATAACATTTCTACGAAATTTTTTTTTATATAAAATTCATGGAAAATTTTGAGGTCTAATATTTTCCTTTATTTCAAAACAAGTATATTTTTTTCGGTATAGCACAATCCTAGGCGGTGATAGCATTAAAATTCCGACTTTACTTTTTTTTTGACCCCCCTAGTGCACATATGTGGTATTTCAAAAATTCTTTAAATTTTTTTAGTTATTTTCATATATGCCATTAAAAAAAAATTATGAACCAAGCATGATTTTCTGGTTTTTAAAGTAGTGCAGATCTAAAATGAATCTATTTCGCCCATAATCTTCTAATAAATAAAGCTACTAATTGCCAGATTTACTTCTATGGGCTATTCCATTAAAATTTTTACACTCAGCTGATTGCTTTAGGAAAAGTAAATAAATTTTATTTGCCACCAAGAACGCATTTTTTAATGATAAGTTATACATACATACATACACATATATGTATTTGACGGAAATTTTTATGAAGCCACCTAGTCTTAACCAATTTTAGCTTTAGGGTATTACTGACAATTGCAGTGTGTAAAAAAAGTATGCTAGTGGAACCGCCTGCTATATTTAATCACTACACATTAGTTAAAACACCCGATGTCTATAACTTAGAGGTCAACAATAAGATTATTGAAGACGTTCAACCTTAAATAACACAAAACAACATTGAAATTATCAATAACACTAATTTCAAAATTAAGTTTTGACACAAAGCGCAATGCGAATAGACTGGTTAAGTTAATGACTCTGTATTAAAAAAAAATTATATAATAACTAAGTAAAGTAGGTGAAGATTTCCCTTTTTTCTTTAATAAAATTGAGTTGAGTTTAATGGCTTTATTAATTATAGTTAAAAGAGTAGCAGTCGATAGATGAGTTTAAAGTGGCAAAAAAAAATTAATACAAAACAATTAATACAAAATAAGTAAATTAATGAATGTATAAAAA